CATACAAGCACATGCACCTCCAATCAGATGGATGGACTCAAAGAAGTCAGTGAAAGACACCTTTGGAAATTTCAGGCATGTTTTCCTGAACAGTTCACTGAATTTGACGAGGGTAGGGTGACTGGCAGTCAAGGAGAATGTGGAGCCATAGATTCGTGACACTGACATGACCCCTGAGGGCAGCTGCCAGGCATGGCCAATCCTTCCTATCGCACAGGCTTCACGTTCTGTGTTCGCTTGGTGCCCTGGCAGGTGGAGCTGGGGCCCACCAGCCTGAAGGTCTTCAGCTACAGATTCTGGGACTCACCAATAGAGCAGCCCCGACAGCCGCCCCCCTGATATGTGAGCTCAGCATGGTAAGGTTTCTGGATTTGTAAGAGGAACAAGAGACCCATATTTACAAAAAAAAATTCTTGGGGCTGGATAATACAGTGGGTAGGGTGTTTGCCTTGCATGCAGCCAACCAGGGTTCAATCTCCAGCACCACATATAGTCCCTCGAGCCTATACGTGATCCCAAGGGCAGAGTCAGGAGTGATCCCCAAGTGCAGAGCCAGGAATAAGGCCTGAGCACTGCCAGGTGTGTTCCTCAAACAAAACAACAACAAACTCTCTGAGTTTTGTGGGACTGGTCAGAGGGTTGGAGCAAATGCATTGCACACAGAGCCGCCTTGAGTTTGAGTCCTGGCACTGTATGTCCATGCCTCCATCTGGTCCCCCCAGCATCACTGGGTCTAACTGGTGATCCCTAACACTCATTTGATCTGAGCACCAAACCAGTAGGTAGGCTCATGTAGGCCAAGTATCCCTGGGTGTAGCCTGGGGGTTCCCTGAGCACTGCTTAGAGGATCCTCACTTCCTGAATAAATGAAAAGCTCAATTTTCTTAAATTTAACTTTTTTGGTTTTACGTTGAGATAAATGGCTTTCAACATGTTTGCACTTTAAAGTACAAAGTCACCAAAATGGCAAGACCCCATCTGCACCGCCCATAGGTCACACTGTTCTTCTCCCACCCCAACTCGGTAACCTCTTTCTGTAGAGTTCTCCAGAGTTCAAGGATTTGTGTTCATTGGACCCTGTCCATTTCCTTAAAGCTTTTCTAAGCACTGGCACGTAACTCCCAAGTTGTCTCAAATATTTTTGACCAGACAAAACCTGCTCTGGGCTGTCTGCACGCACTCCCCAGAAGCCTCATTTATGATCTCAGACGTTTTCGTGCCAGCATATTGCCTCTGCAATAGTGTGTGGCCTACCAGAGATCAAGCTCCTTCTGTCACAGTCTGCAGAGGTCCTAAGAAAATTCTAAGTGCTTGCTCCGAGGGGTGATGCCTCTTGGAGACAAGAGAAACAGACTGTCACCGCAATTTCCATTGATCTGATCTTCAGCTTGACCTGAAGGAAAAGCTCCCTCTCCCCTGCCGTAGACCCGCCTGTCTAGGTTGGTTTATTTGAGTGCTCAAATAAACCTGGGGACGGAGATGCTCTCAAATAGTAGTCAGGAGGCCTGGGAGCCCCACCCTTTCCTGACCCCCTGTAATTCATCGGCCAAGCAGGCCATAAGTTCAGTGCAAGGGCCCATGGATGTGGTGCCAGGGATAGCTGCACTACCCCAAGTGACACTCAAAGGAATCTTGGGCTGCACTTAGGTGCTGAAGGGGGACCACAAGGGCAGCACCTAATGTGCTCAGGACCATATATGATAACAGGGGGCAAACCCAAGAGAGGTAGCAAGGTAAACTCCCTGACCACTCCATTATCTGCCCATTCCAAGTGCAAACTTTCCCCCTCTCGCTCTGCTTTCCTGCCCTTTCCACACTGATTCTCATTTCCAGTGGGCTTGTTTTCAGTTACTAGCATCATCTCCATACTGCAGTTTCCTCGTTCTTCCATGAAGAAGTTAGACAACAGCAATGTGAGGAACTCTTGAGGCGTCTTCGCAGCACTTTCCGTTCCCTTTGGATTTCTCGAAGGCCTACTAATGCCAGTGTTCCTCCTTGAAGATTCTGAGTATGAGCATTCCTGCAAATCTCCTCACCTGTGGCCCAGACTTTCGCAGGGGCTAAGGAATACTCTATGGAGATGGTTACTGCACAGAAGGGTGTTCTCTTGAAGTACATGCCTACTCCCTCACAGTGACCTTCTCTGGAAAAAGCACAATCTGTTCCAGTAAGGTAAAATCCCACTGGGCAAGGTGGCACCTTAAATCCATGAGTGTGTCCTTATGAAAGTGTCACACAGGAAGACAGTGACAATCAGAAGCAACTGCAATGAGGCAACGGTAAGCCAAGAAATGCACAGGACTGGAGAGGAGGTTGGGAGTGTTGAGAAAAGATCCTCCTCAGAGTCTCTAAAGGAACTAGTGGCTCTGTGGATACCTCGTTTTTTAAACTTCTAGCCTCCTGCATTACAAAAGAACTGCCTGTGGCTTGAAACGACCAAGTATATTTGTGGGCATTTGTATCAGTCGCCCGTAAACTAACGAAATGCATTGAAACCTCTTTTTTTAAAAAAAAAATTTAATATATTTTATTTTCATAAAAGTAGCTCACAACAGTTCATTACAGATAATATTCAAACACTAATCCCATCACCGAGCACCTTCCCACCACAATAAGAGGGAAGTGTGTGAAGGTTGTTGTATTTCATTTCATTCTGGAGCCATTTAAGCCCGTAGATAAGAGAATACAAGTATGTTAAAACCAAATAAGTGTGTGCTACTTTTGGTAAGTGTGTTGGATAGAGTATAAGAGGACGCACAGCAGTGAATGCTGCTGTGCGCTCCAGGAAATTCTGCATCACTCTCTTCTGGGAACTTACGTTTATAATCTCTGGGTCTTGGCTGTTGACGAGATTACATGGTGCCAGAGGCAGTTTGTGGGTGTGACTGCCAAGCTACTGGAAAACTGGGGAGCTGAGGGAGGGGGCCCAGTCCTGATCCAAGCAGGCTTGGAGATCTCAACCATGGGTCCCGCATACCTAGGTTCCTCTGCCAGTTCCCTCTTGGGTGAGGCTCATCTGAGCATGTGCAGAGTGGCCTTGGGCATGGTGGCAGTTGGGTTCTGGAGGTTTTCAGCTGCCAGGGTTCTGCTTAGGGCGGGGAGGGAAACTCAACCCGCCCCCCCCCCCCCCCAAGGTGCTTCAGTGAAGACAGCCTGGCGTGGGGTTGGGACATTCTGCGACACTCTCTTCCAGGAGGTTTACTTTATAGTCTCTGGGTCTTGGTTGTTGATGAGATTACATGATGCCAGGGGCAGCAAAACACCTCTTCTTTGCGTGAAAACTTCAGCAGCCCAGGAGGTGGAGGAGGATTTTACCTTTTTGTGTTTTTTGACGTGTTATGCATAGAATAGGACAACAAAACAGCCCTGAACCCACAACAGTTCTTGCTCATTTCTATGTCTTGGGCACTTGACACAGTTCACGGGGTAGACTTCTAGACACTGATTGGCATGTGTATGGATATAAATTAACAAATGGAAGCATGAATGGATGAACTAGCAATGAATAACATGACAAAGAACAAACTCACAGACTCTTGCAATGCTATTAGCTTCCACAAATATAACTGCTTTGTGAGAACCAGGGTTATATTACTGACGACATTCCAGTTCCCCACGGATGTAAAGAAGCTTGTCTTTACTGACTGGATGGTGTGGTAGCCTTTTGGATTTTACAACTGGCTTTTTTTGGTGCTGCTGGGGATTGAACCCAGAGCCTCGTACTTCTCATATAGATTTGAAAAGAAATACCACTGTCTTTCTTTTAAATATCACTTGAATAAGCCTCATAAAATGTTACCCAGGAAAGATCAAGAGGAAAATGTCTGTAACGAACATATTTTCAACGTTTTATTTTGCTTTTTGGGTCACACCCGGCAATGCACAGGGGTTACTCCTGGCTCATGCACTCAGGAATTACCCCTGGCGGTGCCCGGGGGACCATATGGGATGCTGGGAACCGATCCCCAGGTCAGCCGCGTGCAAGGCAAACGTCCTACCCGCTGTGCTATCACTCCAGCCCCTATTTTCAACGTTTTATACTTCAAACTTTGTTGTTTTTGAACCAATCTCTCCAGCCCTACTTTTAACTTTTCATTAGCCTGAGCACAAATAAATCCTTCCAAGAACTTTAGATCAGCTAGCTCTCTTAACTACGTTCTATCCTGCCCCTGGTAATCCCATTTCTTTCATTATTTTCCTTAAGAAAACAAAATTTTCTAGATTGTTAAGAAGATAAATAGTTTTACCAAAGCACTGGCAATATTCTTTCTATATAACCATTTCATGAAAGACCTAATGTTACTCAAGACACCACACTGGATGGGAAATAAAAGGCAAACAATCTTGATTAAGAAAATATGAACACACAAGGCTTAACCGGTGGCAACACATGAGTAATATCTTCGACAAGGGCTTAATGGCTCCATGGTGAGATACAACAATATTCACACACCTTCTTCTAAGAAAACATCTTTTTATCATTTTTGGCGAATTATAACAATATAAAATAAATTACTCAGGGCCTGCTACAGGGCAGGCTTGAGGGGTGGTTGGAAAAATTAGAAATAATGATGATAGGAAGGTGCACTGGTGGTGGGATTGGTCTTGGAATATTGAATGCAATCAATCACTAACAACTTTATAAACATAAATAAAATTTTAAAAAAATACTGCTCAGAGAAGCCAGGCTGATAGCTCAAAGGGCTGGAGCACATGTGAAGCAGAAGAGAGCCCCAGATTTAATCCCTAGTGCCGTGAGGTCCCTCTGAGCACAACCAGAAGAACCAAGAGATATGGTCCCCACAAACCAAACCAAACCAAACCAAACCAAACCAAACCAAACCGCTGACCAGAATAAACAATAGCTTCGACACAGATGCCCAAGAAACTCATGTTCTCCTGTACCTACAGAAGGACCTGGTAGGGACAGTGCCCATCCCTAACGGAGATCACAGAGAGAAGGTGTCCCCCTCCAGACTGCCCCTCCCCCCAAGTGGTACCTGTTTCATCTGGGGAGCTGGGGGAGGCGCTCTCTTGGGACAGGGTGGTCCAGCTGGACTCCTCATCACTGGGTGCCAGGTTCTGGATCCGGTGCAGGGCACAATCAGTTTTCGCGCCCGTCTTGGGATGATCCTTCTTGGTCTCGGGGCTGGAGGACACCGTGGCCACCTGGCCATCCTCAGGGCTGGACTGGGACTGGCCAGGTTTCTGCAGCTGCAGGTCTCCATTCTCCAGGATGCTGGGCGTGGGGCCCTGGCCCTCGCGGCCCTTCTGGTCCAGGGCCTCGTGGCGGTTGCCCAGGTTGTGCTGGAGCTCGCGGGCCGAGGTCTCCAGGTCTGCATAGTAGTCCAGGAAGCTCTTGGCTCTCCGGGGCTGCGGGAGCTGGTCACAGCCCGAGGACTCCCGCGCCGCCGCCGACGCGGGTTCTTTGCCCTCCAGCTTCTCGGATGTTAAGCAGATGAGGGCGGCCGTGGGGCTGACGTTTTTGTTGGGGTCCTGCTGCCCTTGCTCGGCTGCCTTGCGGAGCTGGTTCTCCCCATTCTTCACCAGCTTGATGTTGGCAGAGCCGCTGCCCAGCAGGGGTTGCGCGGCAGGGTCGCTGAGGCCCATGGCAGCCTGGATGTTCGTCAAGGCGTACTTTTTCCTGCATTTAGGGGGGGTGTTGTTCTTGACGTCTGGGTGCTTGATCTCTGCGTTCAGCAGTTCATTGTGGGAGGAACGGAGGTTCAGGGTATTTGGGGGTGTGGCCGGACTGTTCCGATTCGAGACGTCTGTGGGTCCGCTGCTGGCCATAAACACTGCCAAGGGGTCTGCACCGGAGTCGGCTGTGGGGCACAGGAAAAAGGGGGCAAAGGTTAGGTGGGAGCCACGTTTACCCACCAACTCCATCAACCCACGTACCCACCAACTGCACCCACCCACGCTCCCACGCTCCAGGAGTAGTCCCATTCTCCTCTTTATTTTCATGGTCCACCGGAGCAAATCAAAGATCTAAAGTGGATGCACAAAAGCCAATGCCTAAACGCTTCTGGGTCTGAAAATCCAAATATTAGAATAAGGAAATATCAACTGTTGGGGCTGGAGCAATAGCACAGCGGGTAGGGTGCTTGCCTGCATGTGGCCAACCCAGGTTCTATTCCCAGTATCCCATATGGTCCCCTCAGCACCACCAAAAATAATTCCCGAGTGCAAAGCCAGGAGTAACTCCTCTGCATCGCAGGGTGTGACCCCTCCCCCCCCCCAAAAAAAAAGAAAAAAAAAGTATCAAGTGTCTAAGAACAGATGACTGGCTAGAGTAGTGGTTTCCACAGTGGAATATTACTTCGCTATGAGAAAGGATGGCTGCTGAGTAGCATGTTGAGGAAAGTTCACAAGAGGTACTGTACTTCTCATATGTGGGGTAGAAAAGAACAGAGAAAGGGATTAGCAAATGGCCAGAGGCAACAAAACCTGAGAACTGATCTACCAAACTAGGCTGACCACAGAGGAAAGGAGGGGTTTGTGGAAAGGCACTGGAGAATTTTGTAGGTTAGAAGCTGTGAACAGGTCTGCAGCCCTGCAGTATCAAGGGGGAGGCAGGGAAGCTGATGCTGGCGGCAGGTGTGGTGCTGGACCACCGTATGCATGAGACATGAACAGCAGTATAAATTACTGGCTCTCAAAAAAAAAAGGTGGGTATCATACTTCTGGGTTCCTATAAGGGTGCTTTCTTCTTTCCTCTGGTCGTTGCTCATCACTTTTCATCACCTTGAAAAGCAGCCCTTTCTAAACATGTACGCCCCATTTCTATTCTGTGCTTCCCTTAAACAGCAAAGATTCATCGCCTAAATCCTGTGGGACCCTGGCTTGCCCAGTGACTTTGGAAGGTCACTGTTCAAGACTGTGCTATGAGTCCAAAGTAATTCTCAATCATAACGGGAAATGGTGTTCTGAATGATGGGAACATTTAATCTTCATTCATTAGCCTTTGCTAATGACTTTGTTGAATACTTATGACCTGGTCTCAGCCCTGGAATAGGGGAAATGGCCTGATTGTTTAAGAGTACACACCCCAAACTATTACTGACAATGGAGTTTGGGGGCAGGGGAGGGGTTGTCTCGATTACAGATACAGAGAGGCTCTGCCCAGGCATCTGATCTGTTCCATGGAATGAAACACAGTCAGCTGTTTGCATGTACCAGCATGCCCTTGCAAACCTCTCAGGAAGGACTGACTGATGCCTTTATTTCAAATAACTGTTCAGCACCACCAATGACTTATTCCCTTTCTCTTGCAATGAACAAGGGAAAGTTTCTCCCAGTGGAAGGGGATACCATTCACCAGCAAGAATGTCTCGGGTTTCACGTTTCTCAGGCTCTGAGGAATGACTTCTTTCTTATCTGATCCGTTGCTCTCCTGAGAATTCCCTGTGTGGCTAATGGCTAACATTCCAGAAATTGTATTGTGGCAACTTTTCCTCCTGCAGGCAAAACAGGAATGTCACAGGAGGGGAAAGCCCGCAGCTTGCTGTGCTTGGGAGCTGGAAATGATCTCCAGCCATCAAATACTCCCAATGGACAATTTCAGAAGACACCTCCCTCCCCTGGGAGTCTGTGTGTGCGTGTAGGAAGCAAGGCACACTAGTGCTCTCTGTCCCGGTCCCTGAGGTGGCCCTACTGAGAGCTGGACCTACTGGGTCCAGATGCTATTCTTGTGTGTGATTATCTGATGGGGATTCAGGCTTATCCAGCCACTCCTATCTTCGGGACTTAATCCTACTGGAAATGCCTAAAGACAACATAAATGGAGGGAAGGAGAACTGGTCCTTAGTAGGAAGCTTGTGACAGTGGGGGGAAGGGGACAGGACAGGGAAGGAACCACTATAGCAATGACAAGAAGTGGTCAGCTCCAGAGAAGGACCGGGTGCTGTAATGAAGTAAAGTGATATGCATAATGTCCTCTCAGAAATAATACTGTACATCACAGTGCCTAAATGGAAAAACAATTAAAAAAAATAATGCCCGCCACAGAGGCAAGCTGGGGGTCATGAGGAAAGCTGGGGACACTGGTAAAAGGAAGTGGACATTGGTGAAGGGACTGGTACTCCCAATATTGTATGCCTGAAACTCAATCACAAATAACTCTGTCATTCACGGTGGTTCAATAAATTAAAAAAAAAAACAAAGAATTGATGTAGTTTCCCCTTTTAAACAACAGTCTGATGACAGGGTTAAAAATTTTCGGCACTGGTTTGGCTGCTACTGCAAAATTTTAAGGAAAAAGTCTGTTTAAGTTTCTAATTCAACCTCCTTCAAGAATAGCAGCAGAAGTGACAAGGGCTCCCAGAAAGCTGCCTCTGGTATTTGGAGAGACAGTTTAATGGACCGAGCAAGCTCAAGGTCTGCGTATGGGAAGTCCAAGGCTGATCCCAGGCACTGCAGGAGCCACTCTTGAATACAAGGCCAGAAGCAGCATCTGAGACCACTCAGTGTGGTGCGCCCCCTGCCCTCAAAATAAAAAACCCCACTGCACTGTCACTGTCCTCCCGTTGTTCATCAATTTGCTCGAGCAGACCCAGTGATGTCTCCATTGTGAGACTTCTTGTTACTGTGTTTGGCATATCAAATAAGTCACAGGTAGTTTGCCAGGCTTTGCTGTGCGGGCGAGATACTCTCAGTAGCTTGCCGGGCTCTCCGAGAGGGGCGGAGGAATCAAACCCAGCTCAGCAGGGCCGGCAGCTTGCAAGGCAAACGCCCTACCGCTGTGCTACAAAACAAAATAGCTTTCCCTTATGTCCACCATATAGGACACAGAAATGAGATTCAGATCTCTGAACTGTTAGAGTGAGAATTATCATGAGGACTGTTCTCATCATTATTGTTCTCATTACTATGAAACTATTGGGAATCTGATGGCTTTTAGAGGCATGAAAGCACTTCAGTAAGACTGATGATGTTAATTTTTTTGAAAATTTTTACCTGCCTTCTTTATAACTATGAACATTTACAGGACGAGTACCATAAAATTTTAGGCAAGTTATTATTTAAGTTGATTTTTCTACCCTGGATGTGACATAACAGAAATGTTTAAGCAAGAGCTCATCAGACTTGGATTCCATCACCCTCCTGAGACCTTTTTGCAACTTTAGTTGGTAGGGCCTGAGGGTGAGAAAGGAAGAGAACTTGAGACTCAGAAATAAATCTCTTAGAAGAGAGCAATATGAGCAACACACCACAGAGATGCCCCTGGACCCCATGCCAGGCTATCTCATTTGAGGCAACCTGTAGAGGGCGGGTGACCAACTAGCTCCTGCAGTTGAAAACCTCCGGAACTCAACAGCCACCATGCTCACAGCCGATTTCTACAGGCTCGGGATGAGCCTCATTCATGAGTGAATCTGCTGAAAAACCCAGGTATGTGGGACTTGTGATGAGGATATCCAGGCTAGCCTGGAGTCTGGAATGAGCGACCACCCCCGGGCTCCGTGTGCCTGGCAGTCACGCCCATGAACTGCCTCTGGCGCCATATAGGGTCATTAACAGCCAGGATTCAGATACTCAGAAATAAATCTCTCAGAAGAGAGCAGCACAAGAGCAACATGCTGCAAAGATGCCTCCAAGACCCCAAAGTCAACATCTAGTTTAAAAAAATATATATATATATATTAAATTAACCCCAACTGTACCTCTGTATTCGAAATTTTCAACATCTCATACTCTACACCACTGATTTACCAAGACAAGGGGTTGTTGATGAACACACCGTGAAATACAACAATCTTCACATACTTTCCTCTAAGGAAACAACTTTTCTAGATCAATTTTAGTGGAATATTCATAACAAGCAATACAGAATAAATTACTTAGGTCCTGCTTTGGGGGCAGGCTTTGGGGGTTGGGTTGGAAATATTCAAAATATAGTGGTGGGAAGATATAATGGTGGGGGGATTGGTTTCAGAATATTAAACGTAGTAAATTATTGTGAACAACTTTATAAAAAATAAATATATTTTTTAATTTTATTGAAATCACCATGAGAAAGTTACAAGCTTTCATGTTTGGGTTATAATCACACAATGATCAAACACCCATCCCTCCACCAGTGCACATACCACACCACCAATATACCTGGTATACTCCCCCTTTCCCACCCTCCCCCTGCCTCCATGGTAGAAAATATTCCCCATACTCTCTACATTTGGGCATATGGTTTGCAATGCAGATACTGAGAGGTCATCACGTTTGGTTCTTTATCTACTTTCGGCACATATCTCCCATCCCGACTGATTCTTCCAGCCATCATATAAAATAAAAATTTTTTTAAAAAGGAAGAGAAATGCATACACTGTTTTTATTTTAATTTTTAAAAACTTTTAATTGAATCACAGTGAGACACATAGTTACAAAGCTGTCCATAATTGGGTTTCAGTCATATAATGTTCTAACACCCATCTTTTCACTGGTGTACATTTCCCACCACCAATATCCACAAGTTCCCTCCTGCCCCCACAACCTGCCTCTATGGCGGGCACTTCTCTCTCTCTTTCTCTCTCTCTGTCTGTCTCTCTTTCTCTCTCTCTCTCTCTCTCCCTTTTTGGGCCTTACGGTTTACATGGCAGATACTACCAGGTTATCCGGTTATCACGTATATTCCTTTACCTACTTTCAACACTCAATTCCTGTCCAAAGTCATCATTTCCAACTATTACTGTCATAGTGGACCCTTCTCTAACCTAACTGCTCTTCAGCCCCCAAATACTCTTGTGACAAGCTTCCAACCATTGACCAGGGTCTCATTTTATATATATATATTATATATATATATATAAAATATCCCACAAATGAA